GGAATTCTGGGAGTTGAAGTCCACCCATCTTAAAGTGGCCAAGTCGGAAAAGCACTGTTCTATTCCAGCAACAAAGATTTCACTTTTTCTCTAATGGCGTCATTTTCTTATGCCCAGATAGGCTTTCAGAAGCTCATGAACCAGCAGAGGCGTCCACAGAAGGGAGGGGAGGGGAGGGGGGCAAATGACAAAAGCAGTTGACCCAATGCAGAGCTTTTCACGTGCATTGTGACAGTGCACACACCCGTACAAAAGAGTGTGTGCAATGGCACTCGGTTGCTTTCATCATCGTGCAGGCACCTCCGTGAGCCAGCCGGCTGCTGCTTGCCGAAATCTCAACTCGACAATTAATATTGTGGCACCCGAGCGATCGTATTTAAAGAAGGGAAGCAAAAACACAGATAAGGTGTCTGCAGGTCAGGAGAGCCGAGGTGGCAGCCATGAGGTGCAATTCGTGCATTGCACATAAAAAACAGGCAGAACATCAACCTCACTGCGGCAGCTTCCATTGTGACTTTTTTCCCCACACCCTGGACAGTATCTCGGCCCAGTGAAATCAAACCCAGGTTCTCATCTCTCTGCCTTGCCATTTTATCTAATGCTCCCCGTCTGTGGGCTTCTCCCATAAACCTGAAATAGATATACCCTATTCTCAACCTACTACACGTTACATGTTTTTATGGTGGTTCATGTTTTGATCATTACTATATGATGGTTTTATGTAATGATTGCTTCTATACTCATTGCTTTGTGGGATTAGCGTATACCGCCCGGGAGTCACTTTTTGTGAGATGGGCGGCCATGTAAATGTGATTAATAAATAAATAAATAAAAAATAAATATGGAAGCAAAATCCGGGGCTTACAGGTTCTCCATCATAGTTTTCAAAATCAGATCTTAAGAATGATTCTCCAGAGGGACCCCATCGATTTATCTGAGCCTGGAAAACAGGGACTTAGCCATAGTTTAAACCAAGGTGGCGGGTGGGTGGCAAGCAATGGACACATTCCAATATTGACCTAATTGGATTTGATATATTAGATTTATATCCTGCACAACACTCCCTCCTCCAATTTTTCTTTGCAACAACCCTGCGAGGTAAGTTGGGCTGCGAGAGAGTGCAGCTGGACCCCTACCATCAGCATATCAACACATTTTTGGTTACTGGCTAAAACTGACATTCTCACCTCTGCACAGGTTACCTAAATCAGTGTTTCTTGACCTCAGCAACTTTCAGGTGGGTGGACTTCAACTCCCAGAATTCCCTAGCCAGCATGGGTGGACTTCAACTCCCAGAATTC